CTTATGTGCCTAGCGAGTTCGAACTCGAGACCTCTCACTAGACACGGTAACCTCACAACCAGCTGGACTGGAATGCTTGGTTTGGAACATATATATTGCAACAACCTAACATATACTACGTCCGTCCCACTATGTTTGGGACAAGAGGGTGTGACACAACATTTAAGGAAAAGTGAAATTGTGTGGTTGGTATTGAATTGATAAAGTGTGAATAACGTAAGAATGAATTGTAACCACCCAATATTACCAAATATGATATAAGACAAACTTAATGGGACGGACGAAAAAGGTAAAACGAGATCAACTTGGGGGATGGAGGGAGTAGTAACGGCCGAATCAGAATAGTGCAATCAAACATTTTAGGTTTGGATAACCCTGCAGTCACCAGATACTTATTTTCTTTTAGTCTAGAAAAAATTGTAATTATTGTTTGGATTAAATTACTGCGGAACCGAGATAGAAGAGGAAAATGCACCGTTTTTTTCTCCTCTAGTGTAAAGAATATTCAACAAATAGAGCTACGATCTAAAAACATGCATAAATGTTGACCTTCTAAGATGGAATCCCGGATCTTAGCAATAAATAACACATCAATTGTGCAAAAGTAATTCTTCCAAAAAAGGTTGGATCCCTAACTCCAAAGGCCCTTGATGGTAGATTATAAGTCACGGTGACTCAATCGATCCAATGGTGGTAGACCTTGTACATGTACGCACTAGTGATCCAGCCCAGCATGCAAGAACTGTAACCTTCACATAGTCGTTGCAGACTGAACTACCCGTGTGAGTAAGTGTGCAAAAGTCAAATTATATAAGGGTGAGTAAGTGTGAAAAAGTCAAAGTTTATAAGAGTAAGTGCGCGTGTCATTTCCAACAATCAGCATTCAATTCAAATATCTAAGATTTTGTTAAGTACATGATTAAATAAGGATAAATATTACTCTCTCCGTCCTGGAATTATCTTCTCTTTTCTTTTTTGGCAAAGAATTTGTGGTTCGCAACCATTCTTACACGTTTATCTTTCCTCTGCACAACTCTCCACCACACATTTCCCACTATCTTAAAACATGTGCCCAGTCAATTAAGGAGATAATTCCGGGATGGAGGTAGTAACACAATACGACTACACCGTTTATTGTATATTATGGAGTACATTTTTGTATTTAAATAGAAGTTGAAGATGAAGATATTTTTACGAAGGTGGTGAGTGAACTTTGGCCATATATAACCGAAATATTGATAGAAGATAGATGAAACTCTGACAATTAGAGAAGAAAGAAATCAATTGAACAAAAAGTGGTGAAAATAAGGAATGCGAGCAATCAACTTCAAAGCAACCTCCAAATGGCGATATAACTATATAAAGAGGTTACTATCAAAATCAAAACAGCTTGATTTTCTTATTGTAATATTAATAGGTTCCTCAGTTAATCAAGAAAGCTTTAATTACAGACTCTACAGGGTTACCTTATTTTCGTAGAATTTCTGGGTAATTTCTTCATTTATTTTTTTGTGTAAGGCTTAGCCCCCAAAAATTTTGTATCTCTTTTTATCATTTTTTTAATAATACCTGATAAATGTTCTCTGGCATTTACTCCACCATTGGGTGGTTTGACTATCGGGTTAAGAAAACTAAATAAGTGCGCCCTAACCCTTTGCCAAAAAAAGTGCGCCCTAACCGAAAATAATACGAAGTACTCCTTCATCTCACTAAAAACTCTTGTTTTGATTTTGCATGTGAATTAAGAAAGTAAGAAATGTGTGACTTAAAGTTATGTAAATGAGAAAAAGTGAAAACAAATGAACCATAAGTTATTTGTCAAAGGAAAAAAAGAGTTTATCTTTTATAACGAACAAAAAAGAAAATAATGAAGATAACTTTGGAATGAATGGGGTACTACGTACTGTGTACTTCCTATGTTCTTTTTAATTGCAACAGTCAACATTTTACGTTTGCAAATGCACAAATTTGATCATTAATATCTTTCATTCCCTATTAGTAAAAAATTTAAAAAATTCATATTTCGAAAATTTCGAATGAGAAGAATTTAAAAATATTTTTTTAAAATTTAATTTACAATACATTAATTAATAAAATATAGTCAAAGTAGAATATATGAATAGTGCAAAAAGATCAATGTAACAATTAAAAAAGAACGGAGGTAGTGCTATTTAATGAATTAATAAAAGAAATTGATTCCGAATATAAAATGATTCTCATTTCTCTCGCTCATTATAATGATAAAACTATAAAAGTGTTACTATTTGATGGTAATTCTCTCCCATCTCTCCCTCGATCTCATTTTCTATGTTTTCTCTAGCACAAACATTAACTTATTCTCATAAAAATGCAATTAAAATAACAAATAGAATTTATTATTTGAAACTATGAAGAGTATCGTGAGATTACAAACATTTAATTCCAATACAGGTAAAAAACTTACCCTCCTAAATATCATTGATCGACTGGACAGTAGACATATCACATATATAAGTGATCTTATAAGGCTCGTAAGTGTTCTTACGACGGAGTAATAGAGTATATATATATTCTTTTTGCTCCATGGTTTTAGCGATAACAAAATACGAAGTATATGCGTTTCATAATATGGGAAGCCCGCCTTCAATATAAATGGTAAAATCTCATCGATAATATTTTGCTTTTGGTTCTGTATCCTTAACTCAAAACGTTTCAAGCGATTTCTACAGCTTTAATGGCAGCATGTGGAAGGTTGTACCTTGTGATGTCATCATTCACTTGCTACAGCAACATTTTCGAAATCTCATTTAAATTCATTTCTTTCCATATTGGAATCCAGCGTATATAAAATGTGCCCTCTTGGAACACTTATACAGCTCAAAACTGCCTTCGTCCCACTAATATTGAAACATGAAATGTGATGAAATTATATATTAACAAAATGTGAATTTATGTGATTCCTATTGAATTGATAAACTTTACAAATTTAGTACTCCGTATAAGACAATCTTAGTACAACGGTTCGAAAAAGAAAAATGAGACAATCTTAGATGAACAAATGGAGTAGCTTATTCCACGTACTTTGACCCACCAGCAGTCATTAGGAAAAATTTACTCCATACGATTGTTGGTCTAAATAAGTACTGAGTGATTTATTTCTACAAAATTATCATATTTAAGGTTGTTCGAAATTGATTCTGCTTCTCGTTCTTTTTTCAAAACAGATGTAGAATCAGATTCATTTTTCAGAAGCGGATCTACCTCAACTTCTAAAAAATTTGCTTCTATGAGCATTTTGTAACCCTCATAAATACTTATGCACTTTCACGTAAACACTCAAATATTTGTTTTTCTCTCGGACAGAGCATAAATAATTTTAAGAGGTGGTTGTTTCTTTGAATATTTAGTTATCGAAATGAATTTTTGGTTTTGTACACTGCTAAATAGGAGTTGCAAAGAAGAATAAACTAAAATAATTTAGTTTCTTTAGCATCAATGCTATTAATGTATATGCATTAGTTTTATTAAGAATTAGATACTTATTCGATCTATACACTAAAGCATTATTTTGTACAATCCATCTTGAATAGACAAAAAGTTACTTAATTTTGTCAAGTATCAAGGAATACAAAAGAATAACACGGTTCTTTCAAAAATATTACTAAGCTAAAATTTATTTACAAAAATATGATTAAAGGTTATATTACTACGATCTAGTGTCATGATATCTTACGTTTAAATTTGAATATAAGTTATTATGATTTCATTATTACTCTATAGTCACTAGTCACATTTATGTTTTTATAAACAATCCTAGTTTTAGTCATAAATATGTAATTATTTCAAGAATATCATAGGCATTGGTTGTCCTAATGATTTGAACAATGTAAACCCCAGTCTAATGTAAGGTCATTGTTGTAAACATCTTTTTTGGGTATAAGGAAGCTGCAAAACTCGTTCTATGTTGTATTTTAATGTTCTTAATGTTGTCTTTAGCTTTTAATGCTCTATATTGTTCAGTTTTGAATTTTATGTATTGAATTTCTTGCCAATAAGGAAGCTGCAAAACTGGTTCTATGTTGTATTTTATCGGTGGTTGTTGGATATTATTGGCTAGTAAGTAGCTTAAACCTGGATTGCTAATTAAGATTTTGATTGAGGAATGAAATTGTGAATGTATCTAGTTGGATTTCTTTGGATGATGTTTTTTATCTTACTAGCATCAGTATGCAGCGCTATTATCAGGTTCTTATCAACTCCTCAACTGTGGAAGCTTTCAATTCTGAAGAAGCAACCTGTGCCCCTACCTCATTATCTTTTTCGGTGCCGGACCCAGAGATTTGTCAAAGTAAAGGCACACTAGTAGTGAAATTCTTGACCGGAAACGGGACACTTATTTTACTCTAAGTACTAGTAATGAAATTACTAGCCGAAAGCGGAGGCACTTGCCCCCCTTGACTCCTCCCTAGGTCCTCCACTGATCTCTCTCATTTCTCAAGCATACAATCTCTTCCTTCCAGGCGAACTGGCGAAGTACCCACACCCCCATCCTATAATTGAAAGAGTATAATGACAAAATCACAAAAATAATCGTCAATATTAAAGTCGAATCAAAGGAATAAAAAAATAGTATTACCTCCGTCCCGTAAAGAAGTTCTCATTTTCCTTTTATGAATGTCCCAAAAAGAAGTTCTCATTTCTATAAAAGGAAATCACTTTTAACAAAAAACTCACAGCTACCCTTACTTTTTACCCATTTTTCCCTTGATTTCACATAAAGTACTCCATTGTATACTTGGAACTTACATAAATATGTGTGTAGGTAAAACTACGAACTTCTTTGCGGGATGAAGGGAGTATAATTATCTTACTAGCCATCTTTGACAATCGCAAAATTGGCATCCACTCTTCCGTGCGGTACACAAAGGATCGGAGCTTTCAGACCACATATGCAAATATGCAATGAACTGACGACTTTTCTTGCTCGAGGTAGACATTGATGAATCGGCCATACGGAGGCTGCACCAATTTTCTCCATCTTCCCAGGTATAGTCGGAGTTGTATTGGAGGTGTGGGTTAATTTTTTTGCTATCTTCCCTATTCAGAAGACAAAGAATGGATTTAGTTAGGGTTTTGAGTGTGCTCATAAAAGGAAGACGGTGACTCAGAACATTATTAAACTTTTTTTAGGTTAGACTCAACATTTGAGTAGCAACTTCGGGAGGTCAATTACCGTCACCTTACAGGCCAATCATAAAATTTGAGCGATTTTAATGAGTTCGTGGTGTAGATTGGACCTTTTTTGGGTTTAGGTATGAAAGTTATCAACTACTATGGGTACAGGGGTGTGTTTGACCCTTTATCCTTTTTGACTCGTCTCAAAAAATTTTGTCATTTTTCCTTTTCATCAATTATTTTGTGATTCATGTTATTTCTCTCCTCTGTTCAAACATTAACCACATAGTTTTTTACTTTATTATTCTCCATGCCGATCAAATTTGGCAAAGTTTTAAGCGACGGAGGTAGTAAGAATTAGACTAATGGAATAACACCTTGCAATCAAACAGATTTAACATAAATTTGATTGTGTGGAATAGGTGGAAGGTATTTTTCCTTTTTGTGATTCATGTTATTTCTCTCCTCTGTTGAAACATTAACCACATAGTTTTTACTTTATTATTCTCCATACCGATCAAATTTGGCAAAGTTTTAAGCGACGGAGGTAGTAAGAATTAGACTAATGGAATAACACCTTGCAATCAAACAGATTTAACATAAATTTGATTGTGTGGAATAGGTGGAAGGTCGTCATGATCAAAAACTTTTTTATGGCCTACCGGTCAAAAAATTTACCGTATCAAACACTCCATCCATCCTAATTTTTCTTCTACAGTACAAATGACACACAGATTAAGATAATGAATATTGTGTGGTGGTCGGAGTATTGTGGAGAAAAATATATAAAAATGTTTAAGAATAACTATGTTTCACAAATTATTTACCAAAAGTAAAATGAAAATTTATTTTAAAATCTCCAATATTTGAGTGGCATGCATTCTCTCTAGCTCAACAGTTGAGGCACACCTTCATCTATGTTGAGAACAATTTTGTTCACCCCCTCAAAAGAGGGTGAACATCACCCCTTACCCTCCAATGTTGCTACATAGCATGGCAACACATTAAAATTTTGCAATAGTTATAACTTTTTCATTTTTGGTTCAATTTTTTCAAAACATATATTAATATTTTTAATTTTACATGATCTGATACTAATATCACATATATAAAATTTTAAAAAACAAAATCCAATTAATAAAGATTTAGGCAAAAAAGATTTTTTTTTCAATTTGCTTATATACACAATTGATACCATTGGAAAGATCACAAAAAGTTATTAAATCTGATGTATTTTTTGTGAAAAATAAATTATATATAAAAAAGTTATAATAATTTTAAGATAAAAAAAAAAGAATTGTAATGCCAAATGGCAAGTGTGTAAGGGAGGGGTGATGTTCACCGGGGGTTGAAGAAAATTGGACTCCATCTACGTGGTGGGCAAAGCTTTGCCCATTTTCTGGAGAAGCTATCTGGTATAGTAGGTAACTAGGCTAATCCCAGAAATCAAACCTAACCTATGATTTGACAAGAAGTTAGATTGCTTCTGCTACTGTATGTAGTCTTATGATTCTTCTAATCAAAAACAGATTAGTGGAAATACATCCGTCTACTGCACGTTACAAAATGGATATTAGTAATGACTGCAATTTTGTTCGGTGATTGTCATTCCATCTTTCTTTGGTTGAATTGCTTGCCATTTCAATCTTTTTTCTTTCTTAAATTATAATGGAGTATATCTTTTTTTATGTATGATCCTTTTTTCGTGGAGTATCAAATGAAATATATTATAATTTTATAAGTATTACAAAAAAAAGAATTTGAAAAAAATAATAATTTTTCTCAATATATTTTTGAGAAAATTAAAAAATTATACTAATATATAGTACCATGCGAAAGATCTTAAAAAATTAAAATATTGATATAAATTATTAAAAATTCAGACCATAAATGAAAATTTTATACTTAGGACTAATAATAAAATAAAACAAATTAACACTATATGGCAGTCTAATAAAGAGGGTGAATTTAACCTTCACTTGAGAGGGTGAACAAAACTCCTTTCATTACAAAATACAAAGCACGACCTACGAAGTATGTATTGTACCATCCTCTCATAAAATTTTGAGAGGAAAGTGTGTACATCAAAACTCAATTACATGGAGTCACACTCTCTTCTTTGTGTTACATGTCGATCACAAAGAAGAGATTCCAGGTTCAACTCCAAGCAAAGATGTGATATGGAGTCCCACTCTCTTTTTATTAGTGTGACATCAAAACTCAATTTACATTCTCTCAAATGCATGTTCGATCGGTAATTGGGATCATCAGGGATGTGGTATTATCCTTTTTTGAATAAAAGTGTGTTTCCTGTTAAATTCGGAGTAGTAAATAAATCGTAAATAAAATAGAAATTTCTATATACGTAGTACTTCGTATTTGATAAGATTCCTACAGAAAAAGAGAGAGAACTTTAAATTCATGCAAGTTTATTAGTTTAAATGAAAATGACCAATTTTTCTAGGCATTTAAATAAGTAAAGTTGATAGTATTTTATGAGTTGATAAGAATATATGAAAAAAAAGTAAAATAAAACTATGTGAGAGAAATTTATACAAAAAAGCTAAGGAAATAAACACAATCTAAAACTAATTAATTTCAAGGGAATATGATAAATTTTTACGAAAATTAAAAAGGAAAGTGAATAAAGTGGAAATAGAATATTATTTACAAGTGGAGCTCACTTTTTCAGTCCCTCAATTAGGGCCAATAGTGAAATGTAGTTCGGTAGTTTCAATTAATTTTACACTACAAGAAATTCGGATTTTTATGGTTGTAATTAGTGGCGGATCTTTGTCTGCTGTTAATTCCTGACAGAAAGTAGTGGTGGATGGTTATCTGTCGCAAATGCATGGCGGATTAATTTCGTCACAATTTAGTGTCAACTATTTGTGGCGGCACTATTTCGATAGTGATCAAAGGCGGAGTTTTGTGGCAGAATAAGTCGCCACAAAACAGCAGCGGAAGATTCCACCACTGTATTTCGTCACTAAAGTACAAAATATTTAATTTTTCTCACCAACCAAAATTCATTCTACAATCAGCTCATATCTACCCATTCTCTCTCAACCACTTATCTTCTCCATCATGTTCGAGCTTAAGCCTTAAGGTATGAAATTTCTTATATCTTAATAAATATTTAATTTATTTGTTTTTAATCTTGTGATTTGTACTTATAAAACTTAGTTTAACACACTTTGGTTAGTTTCAATTCGTTTATTTTATGTTTAAAAACATTTGAAGATGGAGATGATGATAAAATGATGTTCCGATCTATAATGTATATATATTAATTTTATGATGTGTATACATTTGTGTTAATGTTAATTACGTTGCTTGTTTTTAAAAATTTGTAGACTTACCTATTAGTTCAAATAATTTAACAACTAATGCTATTAATTATATATTAATTATTAGGTTAGTTGAAATATAAATAATTAATTGAACTTGTTGGTTTATTATTATTATTACTATTTTTATTAGTATTATTATATATTATTATTATATATCCTAGTCACGAACTAGGATATGAAAACTTCCAAGATTAGATTAATTTAATTTACTTTGTGAGGTGGAAATAATATGTAATATCATATTGCATGTTTAGGTTTAAAATGAGCAACAATAGATCTTGAATGTATGAAAGGCTTGCCGATCGAGGATTGCTAAATAAAGATTTTAAGGAAGGGGTTTATGGATTTATTCAAAGGGCGGTAAATCTATATCCAAGTTGTATTATTGCATGTCCGTGTAGAAAGTGCAAGAATAGAAAATTGTCTACTTGGGATATTGTTAGAGACCATCTCTTTGAAAAAGGTTTTGTTGAAAGTTATTATATATGGGGGGCACATGGAGACACACTTAATTCTAATGGACTAGTTTATTTTGATGGAGCTAGGTCTTCTCATGATAATACATCTGAAATTCCGTATGACCCGTACATGTCAATGTTTCAAGATGCACTTAGGAATGAATTCTCATCAACTACTCATGATGGTATGCATATGAATGAAGAGCCCAGTCCACTCACAAAGAGCATTTATGAAATGCTAGAGATGGCAAATCAACCATGTTTTGATTGTTGTCCAATGACGGAGTTGAGTGCAATGACTGAGATTTTAAACTTAAAAACTGAGATGGACTTATCAGAGGCTGCAACGGACAAAATTGTTCAACTTGTGAACAGGTTTTTCCCAACAAATATCCCAAACAGGCCCATCCACAATTTCAAAAAAAATAAAAAGGAAACTCTCACTATTGGGAATGAGCCATCAATCTATCGATTGTTGCCCAAAAGGTTGCATGATCTACTGGAAAGGAGATAGTGAACTAATAGAGTGCAAGTTTTGCTCCAGTGAAAGGTATATGATCAACAAACAGTCCAATAAATCAATTCCTCTTGCTAGGATGGAGTACTTCCCGATTACTCCTAGACTACAAAGGCTTTATGCCTCAGAAACCACTGCTGAGAAAATGAGGTGGCATAAAGATCACAACAGAGAAGAAGGGGTGATGCGTCATCCCTTAGATGCAAAGGCATGGATTCATTTTGATAACCTTCATCCATATTTCGCTGAGGATCCGATAAATGTTAGACTTGGTCTATGCACAGATGGGTTTCAACCATTCGGACAATTTGGACAGAAATACTTGTGTTGGCCAATAATCTTGACACCATACAACTTGCCTCCCAGTATATGTATGAAAAGACAATTCTTATTTCTGTCTGTATTGGTTCCGGGGCCAAAGAACCCCACAAAGAGGATAGATGTTTATTTGCAACCATTGATAGAAGAGCTGAAGGAATTGTGGGAGGTTGGGGCTATAACGTATGATGCACTTTCAAAGGAGAACTTTAACATGCGAGCCATTTTGTTTTGGATTGTGAGCGACTTTCCGGCATATGCTATGCTTTCTGGATGGAGTATGAAGGGAAAATTTGCTTGTCCATATTGTACTAAGTTTAGTGAAGCATTTTTGCTCTCCCATAGCAAGAAGCATAATTGGTTTGATAACCACCGCAAGTTCCTACCAAGTGATCATCCATTTCGATTAGACACCCAAAACTTTACCAAGGGTAAAGCAATCATGTATGGTCCTCCATTGCACAGAGATGGTTCATATTGCTACGGAGAGATGGATGCATTAATGTCAGTGACAGAGTTAGGTGGCATAGAGCATATTAAAGTGATTGGAAAGGATATCGGATGGAGGAAACGTAGTATCTTTTGGGATCTTCCTTATTGGAAGGATTTGCTTATACGTCACAATCTCGATGTAATGCACATAGAGAAGAATTTTTTCGAAAACCTATTTTACACCATTTTGGGTGTACCACGAAAGTCAAAGGATCACACACGAGGGAGAATGGATATGGAACATATTTGTCACAAGCCAAGCATGGCACAAGACCATCACGGGAAATATCCCAAGGCTCCTTTCACACTTTCAAATAAGCAGAAGGAAGCTTTGTGCGAGTGGGTTGGTTCGTTGAAATTCCCCGATGGTTTTGCATCTCGATTAGGACGATGTGTAGAAATGGAGCATCTTAAGGTATTTGGTATGAAGAGTCATGATTGCCACATCGTTATGCAACGTCTACTTCCAATTGCCTTAAGAGAGATGCTGCCTACTTGGATTTGGGAGCCAATTGCCGAGATTAGCTAATTCTTTCATGACTTAACAAGAAAGACAGTACGAGTTACTGACATTGAGAAGCTAAAGGCAGACATCCCTGTTATTCTATGCAAATTGGAAAAGATTTTCCCACCCTCGTTCTTTGACCCCACGGAGCATGTTACCATACATTTACCAGATGAAGTTTTGTTAGGTGGACCACCAGAATATCGATGGATGTATCCTTTTGAAAAGTCAGTACCAGATAAAATACTCTTTATAGGTAATATACTTTGTGTAATTACTACTTGATTGTTAATTGTTATTGTTCATGTAGCTTCTTAGGATCAGCGTTGAAGACAAATATTGGTAACAAGGCTAGAGTTGAAGCCTCCATCAGAGAAGGGTATTTGCAAAGTGAAAAGGGTACATTTGCGAGTTACTACTTCCCGGAAGAAGTACCCACAAATGCACGTCGTGTGCCGAGATTTGATGACGGGTTTATGATTAATGATGATGTTGCAATTTCTATTTTTGCTCACAAGGCAAAATTAATTGGTGCAAGCACACGTCGATACATGGATCAAAATGAATCTAATGCACTGCATGCATATGTGTTACAGAACTGTCCAGAGATTGACTTATTTAGAGAGTAAGCCATAATAGTGTATTTATTGATTTCCTACATTATAACTAGTTATAGCCTAACATTATACCCAATCAATTACAGAATGTTTAGCAATGCAACCGGATTAATAGCTTCTGATGAAGTCCAATTTCAAGCGCAATTCCCTATTTGGTTTTATCACCATGTGAGGATTTAAAGTTACTTATTTGTCGGAAGAAATTCATTTTTGGACAAACTATTGTTGTGGACATATACTGACTTTGCACATTTATGTGTAGGTGCAAACTGACACTTTGGACCATCCACGGTGGCTACGGCCTTTATTTGGATTTCCTTCTCCGTATGTGACGACCTACCAAACACTTCATATGAATGGTTACAAATTTAACACTATAGCACGGTCTGAAGAGAGGATGACTTGTAACTGTGGGATTACGGTCAAGTGCACCAGTTATGATGGTTTGAGACTCGATTATTATGGTTTAATACACGAAATAATTCAGTTGGAATATCAAAACTACAAGGTAATTGTCTTCAAATGTGAATGGTTTGAGCCTTCAGAAAGAGGTACACGAGTCCATCCACTGTACGATTTAGTTGATGTGAACATGCAATATCGGCTTTGCACTTCAGATTGCTATATTCTAGCATCACAGGATGATCAGGTTATGTATGTCTCATATCCAACTGCAAAGACAAGGACCAACCGGTGGCTTTCTGTTATTCAGTGCGTGCCACGGGCTTTTGTGGAGAAAGAGTTGGTGGGGAATTCAACTCACGTAGATGAACAACCGTTGGCTGACGTGCACTTGTCGTTAGATGCACTCAAAATACAATACAACACTAATACGTAGTATAGTGTAGTAAGGTTCGTATCCACAGGGAAAGGAATACTTTTCTTTTAAATAAATAGTAACAAAAGGGGGGTTTAGATTTGTTTGCTTTAAAAACACTAAGATAAACAACCTATATGAGTTTAATTCATTGAGATGAAGACTTGGTTTTGCTTTTATCCACTTAATGAAATGTTCGTCGATCCCGGTTATATCTTTAACTATCTTCCTCTCGAATACTCAATCGAGGAGTATATCCAGTTCATCGAGGGTAGTTATTAATAACGAGATGCGTTCATTAATAAAACTTACTATCGAGTCAATATAGAACAAGCGCCGTATATTAACTTGATAGTAGCAATAAACTTAAGATGAAAACGATTGAGACTGATAACCTCAACACAAGCGGTTTATTGGTTTAATCAATATAATTAATTCCCCTTGGCATATTAACCATGAGATGCATGCATTAATATTCCAAGTTTACTACCGCTGAAAGAACCGGATTAATAACAAGCGTATTACCCGATCAATTCTAGTAATAATTAATATGAGAAACAATACTAGTTGATACTTTAAGTAATGTTTAAGATATTAACATGAAATATGAATGGGAATCAATTAATACTCAAGGAAGAATATTAAAGAAAATGAATCCTACTATGATTAATATCAAGATGTTAACTAATTGCCATCTTAGTAACACTCCCCAATATTAACATAGAGGGAGAAATAGCTATTACTATAACCAATGTCAAGATGTTAACTAATTGTCATCTTAGTAACACTCCCCAACTTTGATATAGAGATAGTATTTGAAAGGAAGAATTAATATTCAAGGAAGAAGATTAAAGAAAATAACTCACAACTTACAAATTCATTAAGCTTCAAAGTAGCAAAACCAAGATGGAAGAGTTTAGCTCCTCATTTGGAGACTAAACATGATGAAAAATATAAAGAAAGAGCTATTCTATACTGAGCTTAGATGTACAAAGGGATTGGATCACTTATTGTGAAGGAAAGGGGTGTATTTATAGGCTTTTGGGAGCTGCAGGGGCTGATACCCGACCGGGTATATAGGATACCCGATCGGGTATCTTAGGAAATTTCCCGGAAAGCCACATTTCTGGACATACCCGGTCGGGTATGTCGGTTTACCCGATCGGGTATGTGACAAATCTTTACGAAAATTTGCTCCCACGATCCTTTGTTCCCGGATTTGATTTGGACAACCGAATCAAGCAAATACCCGATCGGGTATTGCCTATACCCGATCGGGTATAAGAGTAATTTTTCCAAATCGAAATCTTTCATGTCTCTTTGCACTTTCCTTGATCTTTTGAGGTCCCATCTTGATCCCTTGGATGAGTTTTGACCTGTTTAGCTCAGAATAGTCCTAATCTAAACAAATTACAAATAATTATGAAAACAAAGTATTACACCAAAAATGTGTAATTTCCACAACTAGAACTAATAAAAACTAGTTAAAAATACAAACATACATGATAGGAAATTCACACTATCAAACTCCCCCACACTTAGTTTCTTTACTCGTCCTCGAGTAAAGCCAAATGTTTACAAGTTTTTCATGTCTTCAATAGTTCAACAATTTAACAAGAAAGAGCAAAAGACCACCAAGGTTTGTACATGAGATTTAAATTGAGTTTTAAGCTCAAAGATTAATATTTTCTTGGGTTTTATGGCCTTCTATGCTCTTCTCTTGTTTTCAACTCCTTCATTCCGCTTCTTGAGACCCCCATTGCCTAATGAGTGATTCCCTCTCACTTAGTTTGAAGCACTGTCCCTAGTGCTCGTCTCCGTCAAAGCCAGGCTGACCGCCACCATAGTCTCCTCCACTGTAGCCGCTGTCCTCCCCAAAATTACCCCACTGAGAGGGGTCATACCATGACGGGTGCTGCACTGGGGGACGCATAGAGGAGAAGTGCCCCTGCTCATGATGGTAAGCATAGATGGGGGCTATTGCCCGTCGGTTGTCCTCGTCCATGCAATTGACCCGGAAGCTCAAATCCCGGAGTCCTTCCAATAGAGCACGTTGGTTCTCAAGCACTTGTGTTTGATACGGATCGTAGTGGGGTGGGTCGTGAGGTGGAGCTGGAATATCTTCAAGAATTGGAGGGGCTTGTTCTTGTGAGGGTTCATCTTCTTGGTTTTGAAAATATGGTGGGATGGCTGGAGGGAGGCAATAGTGGTGCACAAGAGGTGGTTCTAATCGGAATGGAATAGTGGGTAACCCCTCGGAGGGGATCGTGAAGTAACGAGTGGGTTTCGGGAAGATGGACCATTTGTAAAAGATTTTCCCCTTGTAATCACGATGAGAGAATTTGATGTCCTTTGAATTGCCCAGATGTGTTATGTCAAAAAGATAGAATTCGGCTATTGGTGCATTGTCTACGTAACCGAATTTTGTAGCTATGTGGAGAATAACGCCCCCTATCCAAATTTTTCCTTGGGCGGTGCATTCTTTATACAGATGTTCCCACATACGGTTCACAATGTTATAGTGGAAGGGAGGTATGTAAAACAGTGCATTGGCTAGAATACATATATCACCTATTCGTGCTTGGTGATTGTTGGGGCGTCCAAACACAAAGCTAACCAAGTATTTCAAGAAAATGCGTAGCACTGGGTGTTGGACATGGGTTATGACAAGATTTTTGGAGCTAAAGTTCATTTCCCCCGTCATTTTTTTCCACAACTCAAAGCCATACCCGGTGTCGGGCTCTTGGGCGTTTTGTGGTGGCACGGGCAAGCCAAAGTGCTCCGCAAACTCACGTTTTGTTATGGAATGTGTTTTATTGAATAAACGAAACGTGAGTTTATCCTCCCTATCATCATTATCATCTTTGATTCTCTCAACGGAACCCAAGAATTCATACACAAGTTCATCATTTGGGTTATATTTCAACCCAAAAATTTTGCTCATTCCCAACAATTCACCTAATTGAAGCATCATAGCAAGAATTCCTAGCTCATCCAAAGTATTCATACACAAAAAACGGGAATGATGTACCTCTCTTTTAGTTTGGGCTAAGACTTTTTCCGGGTGAGCCGATGAGGTGATGATGATGTTTTCAAAGCCGGGAACCGGTGCTCTTGAAGAAGAACTTTCTCCTCTTGTCCTCTTTGGTGCCATTTTTGCTAGAAAACTTGGATTTTGGGCTCCAAATTTCGGACTTTTATGTGGTGGGGTTGGGTTTTTCGGACTCTACGAAATTGGGAGAGAATGTGGTGTTGATGGGTATGGGTGTGTAGAGGGGGATGTGGGGAAGATTTTGGTGGTGGTTTGGAGGGATTTGGTGGAGAATTCAGGGAGTAATTTAAGGTAGAAGAACCGGCTATGGAGGTTTGGGGAGGGTTTGGTCGGATTTGGGGAAGGAATTTGGGAAGAAGAAGGGACTTTTTGAATTAAAATGCTGAGTAATCCCGCTTACCCGACCGGGTAAGTGTGTATACCTGATCGGGTACGCGAGGCAGTGAGCTGCAGACTTGCACGTTTTAAGCATACCCGGTCGGGTAAGTGGCTATACCCGATCGGGTATCTCCCTTTTCTTTGATTTTTGGGATTTTCATACCCGATCACTATACGGGCAGTGAGCTCTGAAATTGCACGTTTTAAGCATACCCGGTCGGGTAAGTGGCTATACCCGATCGGGTATCTTCCTTTTCTTCGATTTCTGGGATTTTCATACCCGATCGACTTCTTCTCGCCGTAGTTTTTGAAATTTAATTTCTCTTATACCCGACCGGATATATACATGTGCCCGATCAGGTATTAAGCCGTGGTGCACAAAACTCTTTTTTTTTTCTTTTTTTTTGAAATGTGTAAAAATAAAATAAAACAAGTAAACATACCTTGCATGGGTTGCCTCCCAAGAAGCGCCTCATTTAACGTCGCGGCACGACGCTATCATTGTTTTCAATCATTCAAACTTGGATCATGATAGTTTATTTTCTTCACACTTTCACTCCTAGGACTTCCATAGGAGTGCTTAATTTCTCGACTCTCCACTTTGGAAATCTTTCCAGGATCAAATATCCAGATTTTCATTGATTCGTGTGGTGGGAGGAATGGGAAGAAATTATCGTTTAGTATGATCAATAAAAAGTTTTTCGACTCCTCAATTTTGAAGAATATTTCGGAAATGTCATTGTCCATTTCAAGTTTATGAGTTTCCCTCAAGATTTTTAGAATTGATGGGGGTACCTCAAAAGATGACAAGGATAGATATTTAACCTTGAAGCTCAGATTATCCTCTTCTTTGACCAGTTGGAGCTCCGTGTCCTTTTCTTCCTCTACTTCTTCTGGATTCTGGATCTCTTTTTGCATTTCCTCTTCATTTTTCAATGTGATTGCAAAAGTTTGCTGTCTAGGATCACATTCTATTTGAGAGGAAAGTTTTCCCGAATCCCTTGCTTCAAGCCTACTCACGACTCCGGCTATTTGACTCACTTGAGATTCCAAGCTCAAAATGCTAGACTTGGTCTCATTTTGGAATTGCACCATGTTTTGTTGCATGGTGGTTACGCTGTTAGTAAGAGCCCGAACCATGTCCTCCGTGGACATATTAGAGTTGGAGAATGGATCATACCTCATGTGAGGTACATCATCAATTTGTGCAATGTATTCTTCTTGGACCTTTGGGCAGAAGTCCGTAAGATGTCTGTGAGACATGCAAATGTTGCAAGTCTTGGCATCTTGAGCTTTTGAGTTAAAGATAGATTCCTTTATTAGAGAAGTCAAGAAGGAAATTTGACTCTCTAAGGATGAAGTGTTGGTATTCATATACTCATAACTCATGTAAGCTCAGAATGTAGAAGAGCAAGAATTTTTTTTTTGTTTTTTTTTTCGCTTTTTTGATTTTTATGAGGTAAAATAAAAAGAAAAATAATGGCCTTTCCCCGGCAACGGCGCCAAATTTGACGTGCACTTGTCGTTAGGTGCACTCAAAATAAATACAATACAACACTAATACGTAGTATAGTGTAGTAAGGTTCGTATCCACAGGGAAAGGAATACTTTTCTTTTAAATAAATAGTAACAAAAGGAGGGTTTAGATTTGTTTGCTTTAA